GGTAGCAGTTTCTTAATGCTGCGTGCTCAGAACTGATGATCAAGTAGTTTCGACGTGCAAAATACTGTGAGCAATCTACGTGGTGTCGGAGTTCAGGCTAGTCGCGGCAGGAAGAATACGTGCAGCATGGCACCGATGGAAAATTACGAACGCAAGTCGGCCGTCTCGAGAAATGATCCCTATATCCGAAACTCGAGAATTAGGTACAAGCAAGATGACCAGGAAGGTATTACGCATACATCGTAAATGCGATTCAGATTTTCCAGAATATTTGAATATACGTGAATTATTCAAAATAATTGCTTGGTTGTTCAAATAAACTCCACATCCGAAAAATCAAATTTATTCAAATTTGTAAATTTATCAATTCAAATTGCAGCAATACGAATATTTACAAAAAAACCGTTATTTTTTTATGCTTTGTAGTCTATGTGCGTAACAGAAGTAAAAATGAAAATCTTTAACATATATGGAAAAAGGTATCTATTTGTAATACATTTGTCGACGTGTAAAAGCTTACATACTCGAAATAATGAACATAATTTAAAAATATTTTCTTTTAAAGTTTAGTTGAACTGTGGGCTGTAATTGTAGATTATAGCCCATAAAAATAAAATTTAAAATTAATAATAAAAAAGGCTAATGAGCTAAGCTGGATATTTTTGTGTTTTAATCGAATAATATAATTTATATATAAATTTGTATTAAAATATTATATCCAGTTAAAAAAGACGCTTTTACAAAATTCTTTTTGTATTGTTACATTATTTCTTTTGCGAGAAAACTCGAATAAAAAAACAAACAGAAATAAATCTAAACAAAAAAAATAAAATTTCTTTTGCTCTTTGTTTTTCTTTTTCGAAATAAATAAATAAAATGAAGGTCAAAAAATCAATACTATATAATCTATAAAATATCAAATTCTTCTATTAATTTCAAGAGAATCACAAATTTAATATTTAATAATATTAATACATTAATATTAATACATTAATATATCTAATAATATTATATAAAATTAATTCTCTAATTTTACAGAAAACTTAGAAAATCGTTTACTCGATATTTCACGTTTCAAACATGAAACAAGAAATTTCCAATTATTAATATCAATTAATGCAATATAAATTCACTAGTTATTATACGTAATTTTCGACGCATATCTAATTGTGAATAATCTTCATCCTCTATAATTATTTTGTGAAGCTCAACTGCAGCTTGCAGTAATGGAATAATGTATGCTACGTGTTTCGAGCGTCGCACAAAATGGCGTCACTGGCCAGGAGTCACCTCTAATTTTCGCGGGACGATCATTCTCGAAGATTTTGTGTGTGAACGTAGTATGAAAATACGGTATAAAGACCTGCCAATGAGGAAGCAATTTATTCTCGGAGTGCGAAGTCACTTTTCCTCGGACCTGTTCGTTTCCGACGGCTTGCAGGGTTTCCCAGTAATGCGACGAACGTAGACGAATATTCAAACGCGGTTTCTGTGAATGTGCGAAAAAAGGGATAACCGACGTTGAGTTACACAAACTGCCTTGGAAATGATGCTTCCAGGTAGCAAAACAATACACGCGCAAGTTCGTCGCGAGCGTTGCATAAACTTCCGCTCGGCATTTTCCTAATTGTCCAACATAATTGATGCTTAAATCAATTTCGAGTGTTTCATAAATTAGAGTGAAAAAAATTGATCTTTTAAAATAAAGTTTTTTCGTAGAGAAAGATACGCTTTAAAAAATCATATAATAATATTCTTGTTACAAAATATTTCTATTCTCTGCGAGTAGAAATCATTCCTACAATTTGCTTAATAAATTTAAAAGCGGGATGTTATCAATTCAATCTATTTAATATTTGTTAATTACAAGCAGAAGAATCTTAGAAACTCATTAATGTATTTTGTCTCGATATATCAATCAAGTAAATTCATATAAAATGATTTCCATAGAGCAGAGATAGAATGATTTATGATTTAGTGTAATTTCATGCCAGAGAATTGTTATCGAAAAAGATCAATTGTTTAAATTTCACTGGCATGCAATTACACTAAAGCATTCCATTTCTGCTCTATGGAAATCATTTTATATAAATTTACTTGATCGTTATGTCGAGACAAAATATATTAATAAGTTTCTAAAATTCTTCTGCTTGTAATTAACAAATATCAAACAGATTATTGAATGGATAATATCCCACTTTTAAATTCGTTTTAAGCAAATTATAGGAATGATTTCTATTCGCAGAGAGCAGAAATATTTGTAACAAAAAATATTATTGTAACAAGATTTTCGCATGTTCTTTGAAAGTGAAGTGTATCTTTCTCTACGAAAAAAATTTATTTCAAAAGATTAATTTTTTTCGAAAGAAGTCTTTACATACAAATATCAAACCATATATTATTTTTGTTTTATAAAGTTTATATATATGTATAAAGAGGGAGGAAGAGAGAAAAGTAGAATGATGACTTTTCTAAAATAAATAGCAAGATAGAGCGCATTCTATGCGCTCGATAAAATGTCTATCTAAGGAAATTGAGAGGTGTTCATTCGGTCGGAACCGTCGCCGAATGCAAAGATGGAGCGGCAAAAAAAAATGCATTATTCAAGCGAATTTCCATTCGAGAGAAGTCCGGGTAGCTACATCGTTAGGTTGCTCTCTCGCCGGCGCTTTAATGACGGTTTGCTCCCTTTGCTTTCGTTTCTTATAACGAGGAGCTTCGACGTCGTCGTTACGCAGCATTCGCGCCGTATCACTCGCGAACGACGACGCGGTCAAAATCCCTCTCGTATCGACCGCGCGTTTTGGAGAATACTTGAGAAATTCATTCCAGCTTCCGATTTAAAATGCGAAAGATTTTTATAGGATTTAATCCTATGCAAATATTTGTTTTACAAGTACTTTTATGTGCGTACGCGTGTTTGCGAAAGGCTGTGTATAATTTAAGGTGCTCTTTATCTTTGGAAATTCAACAAAAAAGATTATTTTCAGAAAAGTTATTTTCAGGGTTATGCATGTTAAGTAAAAGAAAATTTTTTTTGAACTTTATTGCACATAAATCTGCCATTTATGCTTGTATAAGTATATAAGTTCTATAAAATATAAAATTATTTATAGTATTTTATTTATTATTATTATATATTATTTTATTTATTATTATTATATATTTTTTTATTAACACGTATTATTATTATAGATTTTTTTATTAACACGTACGAGTTCATGCCATGAAATTACATGGCGGCGGTATATGACTGTTCTAATACAAGTTTTTTGCCAATTTATGCTTTTTCGAAATTCGTCACGCGCCCGTAAAGTTGTGGGAAATTAAAAAAATATTCGTAGTCCCAATTTTACGGATTATCCACGATGTGTCCATAGAGACGGTTCTATTTCATCTGGGAAAAATGTAATTCGGCTTGGAAGCTTTGAACGTGATTTCGAAATAAAGTCACGACCGCCAATATTGCAAGACAAATAATTGCGCCTGCAAAATTCCGATCTCTACGGGGCCAATGACCTTTCCCGTTATCCAGGGCAATTTTCCATGAAGCATAAAAGGGTGTATGAAATTTTTATCATCTGCATATCAGCAACATCGAGTATAAAGCATTATTTGCATTATTTTAGAAATAATAAATAATTACAAAATATGAATATTCGCATATAATGTAAATTTCATTACCTCGTAATATAAGAGAATAATATTTTCAATTTTATTTTGTATTGATCAATTCGCGCATCATTAATTGCATCTGACTCTCTCGTATAGCCCTTACATTAATGATTTGAATTTTTATTTCATATATAAGGATCCTAACAATTCAATTTATCTTTTATATAACATTTGTCAGTGACGATATTTGACGATAACTGAAATATTAGCAAAAATAGATAGTGATATACCTATAAGCAAATGGGGAACGCTTCAGAATTGCACGAAAGATGTGACAGTTTTATAGCATCCTGTATGTAATACGAGGACTAAACTGGCAAACGTGTCCATATTTTCCTACCGATTATCGGCACCACCAGGATATCGGGTGTTAACGTCGGCATTTCCGCCGACGACATTAACGATGACGATGAAATTACGATTACGGCGGGTGTGGAGCTCGAACTCCGCGTAGTCAACCGCGTAGCGGAGTTAAGTTAATTTAGCCGGGCACGCTGATAGCGCGACTACTTTGCGTTGTCGCTTGTGCAATTCGCGATTCGCGTTATTACAGCATCGATTTTGCATGCACGCGCATGCCTAGCTTCTCCGGTCGCGCGCGCGAACCCCTAATGCCACTCTTGACGTGATTAAGTTCTATCCTTAAGAACGACATGCGTACACACGCGCGATAACATCGAGGAATTACGAGTTACCTCAATTTCGATCAGGAGTTAACGTTTAACGTTCACTTTGGAAAATTTAAGTTGCATATTAAAATAAATACGCGCTTGCATCTATTGATTTTCACGAATCATTATTTTTGTTAATTTAAAGAACACAAGTTATTATACATGTAATTTATATATGTAATAATATATCACGTATACATATAATTTATATATATATAAATTATATGTATACGTATTTATATATATATATCACATATTTTTTTGGGAAGACGAAAACTTGTTTTCATCCTCCCAAAATTATATTTCTTACAATTAGTTTTAGAAATGTAAAGCTAGCTTCTCATTATAAAATCTGAAAAATCCTTGAAACTTTATCAATACACTTTGTCAGAGAAAAAAAAACATCTTTTATAGCAATTATACAAGTTTTATATGTTGAATTAATGTGCATAGTTAAATAAACAATTTTATAGTTATTGCAACTGAAGCTGAATGGTTATGAGAATAAATAATTAAAAGAAGCTGTTTACTTCTTTATTTTTATGTGAAGATTATAATAATTGTTACACAATGATACAATCCTAATGAACTGTACAGAGATATTTATATACATACACTCACGTTTAATGAAAACTATTTTCTTTTTATTTGCAGACAGCAGCTCTTCCTCAGATACGTTGGATCTGAGCTCGCCTCATTATCATCATCATCATCATCATAACAATAACAACAACAACAACAACAATTCGAACGGCGTTGCTAGTTCCACCACGTCTGGTAGTCAAGAAAACGTGATGAAAGAGAAAAGCAAAAACGCAGCGCGATCGCGCCGCGTTAAGGAGAATCAGGAATTTTTTGAGCTGGGGAAACTGTTGCCACTTCCGCATACCGTTACTACGCAACTGGACAAGGCCAGCATTATCAGACTGACCACCAGTTACCTCAAGATGAGAGCCGTTTTTCCTCACGGTAACGAATACGCCCATTTGATAATTCTTGCTTTTATTTGTTATAATTAAGCTTTTTATATTAATCGACATATGAAATAAATAATAAATGTCGGCATAAGTTATATGAGTTATAAGATGTACGTTAATGCCACTTGTTTATCAATCTAAACCCGCCAGAACGATTGCGCTATTCAAACTGCAGTAATTGAACATTAATAGCCGCAAATCGATCCTGTGTGTCCTTTTTTTTTATTCTCACCGGTTGTTATAGGGCTGGTTGCTCGTGATTTTAGCAACCGGACTCTTACGCGCAAAGGGCAAATAGTATCGGATGAGATGGATGTGATTGCGCACTTAATGCATTGTTAGTCCCCGGCGCTTTGTAAGCAAAGCATGGGGGCCGTTATAGTGTTACAATGGCCTCCCCCAGTTCGATTCCCCCTCTCACGACATCGGCGAATTGAATTTCAAGTGGCTGCATCCCTCTAGAATGATCGTCCCGTCTTTATTCTCGGGGAAAAAGAGACAGCGTCCTCACGACGACGCTTTTAAGGGCGCTTCCTCGCGCGCTTTGTCGAAAAGCGAGCGTGAAATTTCTCGAGAGGCCCGAACGCCGTCGATTATTATCGCAAGATTAACCCTTTACAATCCAAAACAACCGCTGGAAGTAAATCAATATTAATTGATTGAAAATATAGCGCATATACTGTAATGTCGTTATTTTAAACTTCTCGCCTATGTTTTATTAATTGTGTAGTGATGACGGTTTTTCTGCAACAGCGATCATCAAAAATAATCTCGATGTTATGTCAAATTTCATCAAAGATGAATCCATTTTTAATATTTCCCCATACATTGTAGCCTATGCTTCACACTTCGAGTTATACCGAATTCCGATGATGTAAAATTCTCGATGTAACGCGGCGATAGCGAAGAACTCTGAATCGGGGGCTGTTTCTTTCTTCGAGATCGATCGAGCTGTCTGTCAAACGCGCACCATTGTACGTTAATATAATAATAAAGATCGTAAAATGTCTGACACGTGTCGTGTATTGAAACAGCATGATCGACGATTCTTCCAAGGAATGTGTCGATAATCAAATTCGAAGGAAATGTGCTTAAATATAAACTCGTATTATAGCACGTAACATGAGTCACTCACGAAATCTACCGAATATAAGAACGAAAGTAACTTATCATCAAATTAAACTTTGACTTCTTCTAATTCTGATGCGTATTTTTATGCATTTTGATAAGTCAAAAGCCGTTTTTTAAATTTGTGTATCTTTTAATTTTTTATGGTTAACGTGTCTCAAATAATATTTAAGAAAAGTGGAATAAAAAAACTCTGTTGACAAAAAGGCAAAGACGTCAATTATTTATAGAAATTTTTACTGTAATTATAGTTTGAAATTTGTAAATTCATATAGCAAAAGTTTTTACATATGACGTGTATATGCGTTAAATACAATCATTAATTTTACTGAGAGAAAGTGTACACCTCCCAATGGGCGTATCCTTGCATTCGATATTAAAAGCAGAAGATGGATTTCTTTAAATTAATTTTTCAGGTCTAGGGGACGAATGGGGTGCCGCGCCACCGTCCAACAATCCCTTAGAAACCACTATCAAGGAACTCGGCTCGCATATCTTACAAGTGAGCGATCATCATACAATTATCGATGAGGATGATGTAAATATAAATCTAGTACACAATTTTCTGCTGAAAATTATAAAATTTAACGTTTTGAAAATATTATCTATTAAATTCACGTAGAGAGTCGTGAACTAATTCTGTGATTACACTGATACTTGCACTGATAACGAACTATTTCTGCCTGCAGACACTGGACGGCTTTATCTTCGTCGTGGCACCAGATGGGAAAATTATGTACATAAGCGAGACAGCTAGCGTGCACTTAGGTTTGTCGCAGGTGGGAGATATCCTCTCATTTATTTAACTAATTAATAATTCAATTTTGGCAATTTTTTTGAAAAAAGTGTACCCAACACCTTACGTAATTACGTTTGTGTTTGAACATTCTACTTATATTTAACCCTTCGTGGTCACACCTATTGATTTTGGGGTCCAATAAGCCCCGAATGATCTGCACAAAGAGTAAAATATGAAGAAAATATGAAACTAAATAGATGAATGTTGAAAGTCTTATACGTAACACTTAATCAAATTTTTTTCATGCAAAATTGTATTATTATGTGTTATATTATGTTATATGTATCATACTATCACATCATGTGCATGTTACATTGCTACACCCAGGTAACAGAAGTCCGCGTTAATCGGGAAACTATTGACGGAGATTGTTCGTATGTGCAGGTGGAATTAACGGGAAACAGCATATTCGAGTACATTTATCCGGAAGATCGCAACGAGATGGTTTCCGTGTTGAATCTTCCGCAGAGCCCAGCGGATCTCGCGGGTTTCACATTCCCGCCACCGAATTCGCGAGGTGAAATCGAGCTGGAACGTGCCTTTCTCCTCAGGATGAAGTGCATCCTGGCGAAAAGGAACGCGGGCCTTGTCACGGAGGGATACAAGGTAAACAAAAGGAAATAAATTTTTATAAAAAGTACATTAATTTACTAAACAACTCTTCGAGAATAATATTTAAAATTTCTTAAAATGATTAAGTTGCTATGCACGTATGCACATCTTGACACTCGATCACAAAAAATTTCTCAATATATCTGACATTGAAATAAACTTTGAATTCCATATTATATGTTGCATTTAGAATTATGATTTTATTAATAAATTCTAGTAAAGATAAAATAAATATAAAGTGTAAGTAGGAAATGTTTTGATGAATCTCTCAAAATTTAACATTTTTGAAGATAATAAACTTACGACAATTTTAAGAATGTAATGGTCCTTTTTACAAAAACGAGAGAGAAAAAAAGGAGGAAGGAAAGAGAAAAAAGTTGAATATAGTTTCACTGTTTTATAATCCGAGATTTATAGCAGATGGAAAGATATTAAAGAAAAGATACAAAGTGCGATTAATATTTTTGTATACAAATCATAAAAAATAAATGTTGAATAATAGACGAAGTTTGGTTGGCTAAGAAGGGTTGCAATTGTCCCAGTCACGTTCGTTCCTAGTCAGAAAGGAAATACACAGTAGGCAGATGGTAAAGTTCGCTTGTGTCTAATCTGTCTATAAAAAACTCTATGATTTTCGTGTATTTCTCTTTCAATTTTTTACAACAATTTATTGATAATATATCATTAAACATATCAATATATCAAATTAATAAGTCGAAAACAAATATCAACGTTTTTTAAAAGAATATAACAAAATGGTGTAACATCTGTATTATTTTAAATAATAGACAAAAATAAAAAAAATAGAATTCAAGATATAATAAGTTTCATATTGTTTTATCATCTTACAAATCAATTAATTTTTAAAATCAATTAAGTAAATAACTTTTTACTAGTATTGTTTACATAAATTCTTAATTAATGAATTAATAAAAGAAACTGACTGTTTTAAGTGTTACAGATTATATAATACGTTAAATAATATCATATTATACCATTATATATACGTGAGACTTAACATTTCAGAAATAAAATCGAGATGAAATTAAATAATTTTTTCTTCCATTATTCGTTCTCTCAAACAAGTTACAAAAACAGACGTGCAGCGACTCAATTTCAAGAATCAATTTCAGCCAATAAGTTACGTTGTCGAAACTATTAATCAGATTTACGCAATCCGCCGTGCAAATGCGAAAAATCGCATTCAGACACTAATCCCGATTTATGAACGGTGATGCCTTAATTTTCCGAAATCTAGTAAAACTGTCCGCATTAACTTCCCCCCGCGTATCGCTAAACTTTCGACATATGCTCGGGCAATAACATCGACTCTCTATTGTTCTGAGGCGAAGGGAGGCAACGAGCGGAGGTGAAGGGACCTGCCATATACCTTGCACTTGTTAACCGAGGAAGACAGTCCTCGCGGAGGAAAATGTTTGACAAATAGCTCGTTCAGGGCCGCAGTATCCATGATGACGGTAACCCTCGACGAAATCGCGCATAAAGATCCCCAGTGGTGTCGAACACGATCATGAATGCAACCCCTACGAGTTGTTAGACCGACCGAGAGAGCCTCAGGGTTAGGGCGAACTTATCCCTATGGCACTTACACGCACAAAGGCGCGGATTGTAGTTGGCTTTTCTTTTGTCGACACGCGAACGGAAACGTTCGAATTAACGATTGCGTGAAATTCGAGTGAGAACGCGAGAGAACCTGTTCTCCGAGTGCTCATCCGAGAGCGATAAGTCTCGACGAGTCTCGAGAAAGATGTTGTAAAGTCTCGTTAAATTAGCCTCAGCTTCATGATGCAGGTGATCCGCATCTGTTTGTCTTTACAGAATAATCTGAAGTAAATTCGAGTACAACGTGGATAAGCAACTCGTGCTGCATACGCGTCATTTTGATATTTTAATAAGCCTTTCGAGCTTGCTTTGTTCGACCGGATACGTGGTGAATCCGCTACCAGGTTGAGATTAAGGGTTGGCCGACCGCCCTCGCGTCAAACTCCCGCTCTTCTTTGACTCCCCACGCGAGTCCCTCTCGCGCCGCGCGATGCACCAGGATTGCATACGAGGTGATGTATGCAACGCGGGCATAATAAGGGGCCTATTTGCTTCACAAATTCGCCCGACACTCGAGACCGGAGCGTGACGTTCAGCGAGGCTTTTTTTTCGCGTCGTCAGTCATTCAATTAAGCAGGAATTGTTAATTTGCGCGTTGTTTCGCGCGAATCTCGGTACTCCAGTGCCGCGACGCGCGAGGGAATGCATTCGAGTGTTGCACTTTACGCGCTCCTCAGTGCAAGGAATAGCGTGATAAATGCATCACGAACCGCGAGTATGCATACAACAACGACGCGTTATGCACTCTAAGAATTTATCGGCGTGGATGGCGCGGAAAGAAACAGAAGGATATCCAAATATTTAGCTCAAATGAATTTTGCTAACGCCGCGCGCCAGTTTCTTCTTCCCACCCTCTCTCGAGGAATCTTCAATCGACATTAAAGGGTTTTATCTAAATAAAATTTCAATTTAAAACAAATTTTGTTGTGAGAAGCAACACTATTTTCTTGTCGCTTCTGACTTTATTACAATAAGAGCACTATATGCATATAGTCCAAGAATAGAAATTTTTCGTAAAGCAAAGTAGAAAATTATGAAATGTTATTATTAAAAATCTGACGTGTCGTCTAATTTGAAAGATTCTACATTAAATTGTACAACTTTGAGAAATTTTATAAAATGCGAAATATACATTGGCGACCATTTTGATTTCAGGTCATACACTGTTCCGGTTATTTAAAGTGTATCGTGGAGGCTCCAATCGGATCCGAATATGAGGACGGTATCGGACGGTGTATTCGTAACGTCGGTCTAATGGCCGTCGGTCATTCGTTGCCGACGAGTTCCATAACCGAAATTAAGTTACACCACAACATGTTTATGTTCAGAGCGTCACTCGATCTGAAACTCATATTCCTCGATGCCAGGTAAGGTTTTGTCAATATATGTATTTAAAATTAATGACAGAGGGATGATGTGTAGCTCCGTGTGAGATCGAGCGATAGATTTATAATCGGCGAATATCGGGTTCGATCCTCATTCTCATCCCATATATGCGTCTTATATATGTATAATTATATTTATTATGACATAAATAATCTAACTATGTTAATTGAACAGAATTAGATTCATATTGTATCGTATATAACGTATATATATAAACCTAATACTGTTTCAGTAAACATACTTAGATTTTTGGTCATAAATATATAAATCTATAACTTTATTAATTCAACAAAGTTAGGTTTATGTCGTATCCGTAGGTATGTAACGTTTGTAACGTGCAATATAATTTTAGATTTTCAAAATAAGTTATTGTTTATTTTAAAAAGATATATGTTCTATTGTTCGAATTTTCTCCAATCCAACTTCTTATAATAAGATCGAGGCATATATAGGATGAAGACCGGGATCGAATTCGGTATCCGTCGATTATAAATCTATCGCTCTCGGAGCTACCCTCTATTCATTAATTCTTTACTCATTTAATTCTCTACTGTTAATTGTATCTAAACATTTGAATACCTCTCAGTTAAAACAAATAATAAACCAGAAAATTATGTCGCCAATACACGAGACATGAATAAAGCACAATATAATACTAATACTGTAATAACATTATATTTCAGTACGTGCATAAAGTTTATATAGGAAGTAAGAGCAAAAAGATTATTTCTTGAATAAATCTTTTTCCCGGGGCCGGATCTCTCCTCGCGTCGCCGAAGGAAGCGAGCGGTGTTGACTCGAACACCGGGACACAGTGGATTATTTATTTCCAATGTAATTATAGTTGGGTGTCGTATTGCGCCATTAATATTTCGATGGAGGGACCCGCGCGGTGCTCCCGGTCGAGAGGGATACGGCCATTAAAATCAGTTTCGTGTTACCGCGCTGCCGCGTATCCTCTTTTTTTTTCCTCTCCATCCGCGGCAAATAAATATCCACCACCGGCGCGGCGCGGCGGTCCCGGCGAGCCCTACACACAGCCCGCTCGCATGGCACTGGGAACGAACACGTGACGCAGTATAAATATAGCGCGGATATAGAAGCGCGCGATGAAATTTTATACATACCGTCGATCGGAATCGGCTCGCGCGGATTGTGCAAACTCGCGACGCTCGCACCGTAAATCCCGACGAAAACAAAGCCCGATCCGCGGAAAGCGATCAGCGGATATATATTTCTGCGGCCTTTTGGACCGTACCTCCCGCGCGTCGGTACGTCGCGCGAGTGATATTGGGATATGTTGCGAGTTACACGAGGAATAACTGCGTTTTTTTTACACAATATACGCGTCCCTTTACATTAAAATTGTATTGAAATAGAAGTAAAAAAAAGTATACTTAAAATTAAATATAAATAAACTTTTCAAGGAGATTCTAATGATTCGCTCTTTAGTAAAAATATAAGAAAGAAAATATGATAAACTCTTTCTAGAAAAAATTCTTTCTAATGAAAATATGATACACAGAGCTTTTTTTTATATGTGCGTAATAGAATTGGGTTGAATGTGAGACAGAGAAAGTAATATATTCACTATAAAAAGCGGAGAAAGATATACGAATATACGATATCATGTATAGTGTCTTTCTGTTGTTACAGAGTGGCGCAATTAACAGGTTACGATCCACCGGACTTAATTGAGAAAACGCTATACCACTACGTGCACGGATGCGACATTCTGCAGCTGCGACACGCTCATCATGTTCGTAAGTATTTTCATTATGTATACTAGATGCAATTTATATTATCAAACGAAAATGATTTTACTGATATCTGTATAATTTCACCAACAGTTACTATCATTCACAATCCTCTTCTTGGCGATAAAACATTAAATACTTAATTTATCTTTTACATATTCGTCAATTTATTTATATACCTTTAAAATAATTCAATTCTTTCTCCCCCGATTATCTAGTTTAACAAAATGTATATGTATCTCGTAATCTTCAGCTTCCCGTAATATTTCGTTTGACATCAACATATCTCTTTTGGAAATATATTTATCGATAGAAAAGGTTTCCTCGGATTTTTCCTTTTACATAATACGCGCGATCACGTCGCAGCGTCTCTCTGTTTTTCGCGGATTACGCTTTTACATTTTCGCTCGTGTTTTCGCGGTTTAAAGGTCACCTATTTCTGTCTGAATAATAACACCACCAGAAACACAAACGCTCGAAAATATTTTCCTTCGATAGTTTCTCCGTTGACCAACGGTCCGGCGTTGGATTCTCTCAAACGACGTCGACACAATACGTCGATGAGGATAAGCTCTTTGTGGACTCCGAGAGAGTAGCTGACGCTGCTTAACTCACCGACGCCCTTATATACGAAACATCCTTTGATCTTACCTCACGTGCTACTCACGCGCGGATAGCTACATCGTATTTCCACTCTTTCCCATTTTTTTTCTCTCTCTTCGAGACGCCGCCGTCACGTGCGCTTATTCTAAGTATGTGCACACGTGGTGCACCTAGAGGGTGTACATTATTGATTGAACAACGCTGCTACAGCGCGCCGACGAAAAGAGGCGGCTGCTGGGTGCGCGTTTATACGCGCGAAAGAGAGAGGGAGAGAGGGGGAGGGGGGAAGGGAGGAGGAGAGTGACGATAAGAGCGGCGAGCGGGTAGAAGTGAGGGAGGTTTAGCGAGAGGTGTGAGCGAGGTAGGAGGCTGTTACTGCTATCACTGTTTGAACAGACTCGCAGTTTCACGAGCGCGACTCGAAGGGAGTCTGACATAATGCCGCTAATGTCTGCGCCTGAGAATTGCGCGACGTCGCAAATGTCGTACTGCTCAAATTTTTTTTTAATAATTGCGCGTGACGATTACTGCGCTATGGATGCCCGCAAGATTTTTCTTGAGAAATCGCAAACGGGAGATTTCCTTCTTGATTATTAAAATTTTTTCTTTCAACTTCAAATAGTTTTCGTTCTTTTTTGCTCATTTTTAATAACTAACACTATCAGGGATATCAACTACCATTATCAGGGATTATCAGCATTAAACTAGCAATGACGTTTTCTCTCGTATATTATTCTTACAAAATTTTGTTTAATTTACTTTCCATTAATATAATATGATAGATTGTATGTGTCATAAACTTTAACGATATCAAATGTGATATCAATTCACTAAGATGGATATCATTGGCTTGTTGACAGTATTGCGCAAAGGTCAAGTGACAACGAGGTACTATAGATTTCTGACGAAAACTGGCGGTTGGGTGTGGATGCAGTCGTACGTGACGATCGTGCACAATTCACGAAGTTCGCGTCCGCACTGCATCGTCTCTGTGAATTACGTCTTGACGGCTACCGAGAACACGGGCCTGATCCTGAACTGCGAGCAGAAGTCGTCCTGCTCGAGTCCGGGAAATCCGCCAAGCGCTCCGGTGTCGACACCCGTCACGATCGGTGCGAGTGACCTGGACAATCACAGCCCGAGCCCGCCTTCTTATCGTAGTAGGACCAAGGAGCCACCCGATACCGACTACGCCGACAGTTCCGGTTATCCCAACTCGGAGTATCTGGCGACTTCGACCAATCACAGCCATTACCTGCCGTCCTATGCGCACAGCATCAATGGTGCAGCCCACGAGGACAGCGCTTACTACAGTTCAGATTTGTTCTATCAATACAGTGGTGAGTCTTATAATTGATTTATATTTTGGAAATTCACTTGCTCCATTTGAAGATGCGCGAAAATATATGAAACTATAAATGTTGACTGAAATTATAAATAAATAAAATCCCACGATGAAATACCTATGCAGAACTTTGGACTCATTGTCCAGTAATGGTATCTAAATTTCTATTTTTTTATATACAAATTATGTCTATTAGATATTGAACATAATCCAATAAAGATTAAACGAGGGACGCATTTTCTCTAGATGTTATTTCCTTTCGGAAAAAGGAAAAAAGGCCGATATATTCGGTTGTAATGTAAAAATGAAAATTTTTTCATCTTCCTTTACAATCGTTTTTGATCATTATTTAATATTTCATCACTCTTATAAATAAAGATTACAGTTTAAATTTAACCTTCTATTTTGTAATCTCGAGACCTCCACCAAGATCCCGTGAACACCCTGCAGCACCAGCAAGACACGCATCATCAACATCTTCTGCATCACGCCACATCTCTAACTATTCAACAGCACAGCCCACAGAACAATCAACAGAAACGACAGCATCCCCAGCATCTGCTGCACCAGGGTGCGTCATCTTTGACAGCCCTCGAGCAGCAGCAGCAACAGCAACAGCAGCAGCAACAGCAGCAGCAGCACAGTCCTCAGAGCCAACAGAAGCGACCTTACTCGACATCTTCGAGTTCCTGCGGTAGCACCGACGGTCTGGACGTGCACCTGACAAATTCCCTGAGCCTGCTACCGTCGGGATACCACTCGTCGCATCATCACCATCACATGCCGCCGGACTCGACGTCGTCGACGACGTTGAACGAGGCTGGCGGCGTCATCATGTACCCGAACTGCGGTTTCAACAACAACGAGAGCTACAACGCCGCGGCGCTTCAACATCACGAAGGCTACCAACAGGGTCACCCTCAGGTCCACCACAGTAACGGCAACGGAACGGTGAAGCACCCCCATCATCATCATCTGGAGGCCTCGTCGGCCGGCTACACGAGCGTCATCGTCGACTCCCAGCAGTACAGTCCCAGTACCGTTCCCCAGGAGCTGCACGCGCATCAGGCGGCGCCGGTGAGCGGCGGCACGCCGCCGCTGCACCACCAGCCTCATTACGAGACGCATCATCAGTTTGTTCACTGACATCAATTCGAGGTGCCCTGCGCGTAGCACTTCGACGCCGCTTGCGATGATGACGCGTGCGGGCATCATCATCGTCATCATCAACAACAGCAGCAGCAGCGTCATGGCGTAACGTCAGAGTGCGGTGGGGAACAGTACGCTGGGCATCAGATGGACAATGACAACTACAATCCCGCTGGGTCTCACGTCACTTACGTGACGCCCTACAAACGACTCTGGAAGATGGAGGAACGAAGTGTCTCCACTTTAAGAGGTAATTCGTAATTAGAGAAATTAGTGCCATAATGTGATAATATTCTTATTAAATGCTAACACGTCAAGAAATCTTTATATTAGTTTTTTTGTCTTTATACTAGGCGTCTTTCGACACACATATCGAATTGACACATTCTGTTGTGGTAGTACGTCTTTTTATAAATTTTAGCTGATTGCCGTCGACGTTGGGGTTTGTAATAAGATAAATTTCTTTCAAAGTAGTTATAAACACGATATTTTAAAGCAAGATGATTTATAGTTCGTATTCTTACTTTAATGACTCTAAAATTCTGCAGCAATCAGCTATAAATATAAGTTTATTGTATCCGGCTTTCGTTTTAGAAAGATGAAAAAATTATTTGTGAAAATGTTAATATGTTCTCTATATATATATATATAAATATATATGTACTATCTATATTTTGCATCTGCATGCGAAAGTTCTTATTACCAATAAAAACAATTTTCGCGCGAGTTCGATAAGAATGTGATGAAATATTATTTAAAGTATAGTATTTCTTTGTGTGATAGATGCTTCACAAAATTTCACGTAGAGAAAAGAAGTTGCGGCAAAACCGGCATTCCATTTTGTGAGCTAAGAGAATCATGTAACTAGTCATAATTGATCTATGTACTTTTCTATTTCACTTGTATTATCACGTTATCGCCATAGAATCTCGATAATAACGCAATCGACGACTACAGCGGCGGTCAAAGGGAACCTTGTTTGATCTCAACATTCTTGCAGAAAATAACTTTAATAAATACTATTGGAATAAAAATACAATGATGAATATAGTACTGTTATTGTTATTTGCATGGGTAATTCGAATCACAACTTTAAAAACTTGAGGGAATCAATTTCGATTGTATTGTAACGTCATTGCGATATATGAAGAATACGATTCCAACATCAATATCATTTCAATTTCGATGAATACTAGATATAGAAGATAATAAACATGCCAGACATACCACAATACTATCGTATAATCACTATCAAACGCGGATATGCTAGCCGATTCACCGTGAGGAAAATTAATGGGATGCAGTTTAAGAGATTAATGATTCAAAGAAGGCTCATCGACTCCTTTGTACGTACCTTATATCACATATCTCGAGATGAGACAATAATAATTCGCGATACTGCAGTAATCCAGCTCCACTTAAGTACTTCACAACAGCGATCGTTGCGAGCACCGCGTAAGAAGGAGTTAAGAATATATTGTACGCGCTGGACGCAAATTTTCTGACTCCACAAGGAGATAAACGAGGAATAAGTCGATAAAAACACCGGACATGAAATGTTAATTAATATTAGAACGTTTGGGTTTGAAAGCGACATATGAAAAATTACAAGCAAAAGCAGAAGTATATATATCGATTTTCACAGACTTCTTAAGACATTGTGAAAAATCGAAATGAGAATTCTATATATAAAATTTATTTATATTATAAAATAATTCTAAGTGAATTTTAATACGTAGTAAATTGATGTATCGAATGTTTTGGAATTCGTGCATTAGAATACAGTACAATTCTCCATGTTAGAAGAAGCAACTTTTCCTCAGGCAAAATTGCATTCAAGTTTTTACATTAATTTGCAATTTTACCATAGAAAAAAATTTTACTTTTTCGCACACAGAGAATCACACTGCATTCCGTGTGCGTGAATTTTGAAACACCTTGTATAAGTTAAAGTGTATATTGAATATAAAATTTTTAATAATTTTTTGTTTTAGAACTTTGATGGGCTACATCGTCAAAACAGCTTGACAGTTGAGAAAAAGATATGTAGTAAAATAGAATGTAATTTTAGTTGCTCTAATTTTACGCGTTCGTACGCATGTATATGCAATTACAAAAAAAATTGCATCTTTTTTTATAAACGAAAGTATTGAAGTCGCCTGCGGCTTTGTATATACATATAATTTGTATATATAATATTTTTAATATTTTTTAATTTTTAATTTAAGACATCTGTCAGACATATTAATAATCATTTTTACTTATTGTAGTACTTTTTAAAAAAATAAAAAACTGCATGGAATGATGTTTTAAAAAGCACAGATATTTAAAAAGCACAAAGAGTAGCTAAAAAATCACATTCAATTTTATAATACATCTTTTTTTCTATATCTCAAGCCATTTTGGCGATATATATAACTCGTCGAAGTTCCGCAGAAAACAATTTTGTACATAAATTTTGTATAATTTTATATTAGACTTTTTCATCTCCTCAATTTTTCAATTGCAAGCTTTGAAACAAGATATTCTAATATTAAACAATGTATTAATCAGGCTATCGGCGTTGTTGCTGTACATCTACAATTAAGAGATCTTCGAATGTAACACGATGTAAATAACGTAAGCGTGTAAATTAATTAACATAAATTGTATATAATAGCACTTACGTCGATCCGCGAAGACTGACCGGTGCTTGTGCCAATCGACCAAAGAAAATTTTCTCTTTTTATCAAAGAAGTTAGTATTATATTTTTAATCGCGCTTATTTAAATACGAGTATCCAATATATGTAGAAGAGAGCGAGTATTGTAAATATATCTAAACGCGTAGCATAAAATCTCCAACGTACTTTGACCGTCGTGAGATATTTTATTACGGAGAGAGATTATTACGTCGTAGACCGTGCTGTGTATAAAACACGCATGTATAATCGGCATCAAAATGAAATCCCGAAACCTGTAACTTTTCTTTTTTTTTTTTCGATATTTCTCTCGGAACATGAGAAAGAAATAGTGTCTCGGCCATTTTAACGCCGACTATACACACGCAACGCAGGCCTGATTATTTATATCAATGTAAAGTGTGAGATTTCGTAGCAACAGTCACGGTAACGTCCGTGTTCAAGTACTGTAAATATTGTAAAAGTACACTATACGTACGTACATACAAGAAAGTATATCATATTTTCCTTTGAAAACTATATGGTATTTTCTACTTACCCTCCCGCTTCTATATCTTAAGATCACGTGTGCAAGTACTGTGTTTTACAAGTAAAATATTAAGTGATTAAATAAATAAAATAAAATTCGCGTTCGATTCTTTGTTAAAAGGGACGAAAGTCACTTGGCAGCTAGTAAGTGGAACGGAAGTATCACACACATTATATCGTTCTTATTGTTAATTGTTTTCAAATAATAAATTGATTTAACATTAATCGGTAAATTTCTGAATGATTAAGGAAAAGTCGACGATAATTATAATTTTGTATATATTTCAGAATTAAAATTTGATAAAAAAATATGGGATCATAGATAAAGAAGGCGTTCAAAGGAGATGCTTGTTGAAATGACTTCAGTTTAGAGCAGTTTAATTACGCGAATTCTCACGCTTAGATTACGACTACCCCTGATTTGCATTTTCTATCGAATGCGTATTTATGTGATTAAAAGATGAATGAAAAAGAATAGTCGCGGCCGAACAATCGGTGTCGAGGAAGCATTCTGCCAGGCAAGCAATAATGAACATTTCAGGTAATTCGCGAGATTCTCACGATGAAATTAAAAGCGGAAAGCGGGATCGCATACAAAAGCGATCCGCGTCGCGCACAACATTCAGCGGGGATTCCTCGTCTCACAAACACGGTGAGGCAACGATCCCAGCTTTTCTGCCGCGCGACCCCGCGATTGTCACTCGGCCGGCGCAAACAATAAATTAATTGTGCCTCGCACACGATTGTCCTCATCGGCTAGCTTTCGGCGGTCGCGTGCTTGCCGGCATGAGGTCTCTGAAGAGGCACGTGCCATTTTATAATCGCCATTCAGCGATTCTTTCCTCTCTTTCTCTCTCGCGTGCTGAAAGCAAGCGTGCAAAAAGATATAGGTTTCATAGGAATCACGTACTTTCCCAAAAGTCGACTTATTCCATTACGAATGACATACCGCTTCTCTCTTTTGATATAGCAGAAAGAATTAAATGTGAAGATGAATAAGATGTGAATATAGCCATATATACTCGTCTAAAACTAATATTAACTCTGAATTTTGAATTTTCTTGTAACAACATTGACAAAACTTATGAGAATCTGATCAGACCTTAATCTTTTCAAATATCTGTGGAGACTCATGATCATCTAAATCGAGGATACATATTAGAATATTCTAATGCTTTATTATAATATTTAATAGAGAAAATTCTGTGCAGAAATTCGCGAGAAGCTTTTAATGTAACCTGTCTTTCGGTTTTATAACACTTGTGTGAGACTGCGATCAGAAAAATTCTCAAACACGTATATGGCCCTAAACCGACACCGCGGGCGGTATTTGACAGTCGAGACTTTCTGTAACGATTGATCGCACAATTTCACAGAATCGCGGTCGCGTCCCATTCGCCGGCCGAAGAATTTAACGAGCCGCACGCGACTTCGTGCGGGGCCTCAACACGTCGTCGCACACGGCCGATAATGGCACCCCTCGTGGGCTATCCCGCCTCTAACGTTCTCATTATATGTACCCTCATGCCGTGACTGGTGTATTCTTCCGTCCGTTTGCTTCTACATATTACGACAAGTATTATCAATGAAATCGCGCGGAAGGATTATTCGGTTATCATCGATATGAATATACGATTTAAGTGATGCTATTTCCCGACTTTCGAAAGTGCAGTTGGCTATTAGATAAATGAATCTATTGTCTCAGACGACAAGTCAGAAATGCGAATACTATAAGGACGGTATTCATATTTGAATTATTATTTCATGCGAATATTTGTAGATTCATAAATCTTTGATTATCATTAATCTATATTTAATGTTTACAAAGATTTAGTATTTAATTGAACATTAATTCACTGATTTATGAATTACTTAATTACTATGTCGACAATCTCAGATTGATGAGTGGTATTTAATCATTATTTATTTGCGTTTATTATAAGCGTTTCTCTGATATATAGTTTACGAGCATGTCATCATCTTCTTCTAATAGATCTTTAATATAATTAAAAATAAGCAAAATGATTAAATAACGATCAATCTGTAATTAATTACGCTCTCAATCAAAAATTGAAAATTCTCTACGACTGTAATGAATATACCGATCCGAGTTCTTGTGTTTGTTATTTTTAAAGATTTGGACCTAAAATAATAACAGTCAAAATTTTTTCTTATTAGGAATTAAGAGGATAACGCTTTCCTGTTTCTGTTTTGGCAGCAGGTTGTCGAAATCGAAAATATTTTCTATTTGCAATGTTGTATTATTGCAAGAAAGTGGGTTAAATAAATAAAAAATAACGCGCGAGAGAACATATAATATATGGACAGTCAACTCGCTCAGAAAATTAGACTTGTGAATAGATGGGGTCGAACAGTGTAGACTGTGTATAATTGCCGACAGCGAGTGGTTTTGTTTCTTTCGTCGCGTTTCTTCCTGTCGCTCGTAAAAATATGAAACCCGGAGGCTTAAACTTTTATACGTCTCCGCTGCGCGTATAGTCTACACTAAAACAGTACGAGTACCTATATAAAAACCCGGTCACAAAAGTAATGAGGTCACATATGATTGGAGTACCATATTGCGTAAATCATATTTTTTATAATTTTTTTAATAATTATTTTTCCTCTACAATTTTCTACACCTCTTTTTCCTTTCTGACAAAAAGCAAAAAAAAAGTAAAATCAAGTTAAAATTATTCTTGACAAGATAATATAAATCTTTAAATATTATCTACACATTTTGTTCTATTCATTAAATTACTGTGTAGATTTTCCATTGTTTAAGAAAAAATTTATTTTATTGTATTCTAAGAATTTTTATCTTTGACATAAAACTAGAATTTTTACAAAAATGCACGATGAGTGTTTTCCCCCTAAGTACAGCGACAAAGAATAATATCGCGCATTGTGGCATCCCCAAAGAACAACATATGCATCGGCTGTACCGAGGGTACCGCAGAAGTGGCTATTATCCCCGACGATTAGGGATATAAACGCGGATTTATCGTAGACGGGAGGGATTTTAACTAAACTAACACTTGACAGGTTGCGTGCGCTGTAGAAACATTTGTATCGCGGGGCGTGGTATTTACTTATCATTAAGACTCGGATTACGGAGATTTATGGGAATGTAAGCACAAACCGCGATGCTCTCGCGGGTGAAACTAGATGAAATCGGATTCGGAATCCATGCACACAGAATGAAGTCGAAGCCACGTGAATAATTACGGCTGCGTTATACGGATTAATATTTGAGCTTAATTATGTGACTGCGAGCTTGCCTAGTTTGGTAATAATTAATAATTCTTTCAGTCTTTCTACTTTTACAAGATACGGAAACTCTGTAATACTCTGTATATATGTGTATATAGATAAATTCCGTTTCAGAGTCAATTTGTGAAGACGTGCCGAAACGCTTATCGTCGTAAATAAACAAGGCCGCAATAAGAAAAAGCCGAGATGCCGCGAGTAACAAAAAAATTTTCAGCGCGGAAGCCTCAATTCCGGACGCGGGTGGATTACCTCGGGGCGAAGATCGCGCTGGTCGGAGGCGATCCTTGGCGCTGCCGGTGGCGGTAAATCTGGCGTGTATAGCTGAGGAAAGGCAAGGGTGGGCGCGTTGGGTTCTGGTGGACCCATCGCGCACACCCGTGTACACACGCGCACGCACACGCGCACGCACGCACACACCAACGATACGCACGCAGGTGTATATTGGCGGCGGGCCTGCGCGCAATCGGGGGCGAAGGGTCCGCTTTAGCGGAGTCGCCCCCGCGGTAACCAGGACGACGGCACGCAACGCCGCCCACAATCCCCGGGCTGTCTTGTCCGATGTGTTTGCTCGATGATTTTATACCAATTACGGCCTATCCCCGTGCCATTGCCTACACACACCACCGACGCCGCCGGTCGTCGCCATCGTCGTTCCCCGCGCGCGCGATTCCGCCGTCACTTCCGGAAACGGAAGCCACCACGAGTGCAGGTAGAATCGGCCAAGGGGCAAGGTGTCAGGTATCAGGTATACCGGCATCGTTACCGACGAGTATCGAAGCATCGATCCTATCTGATTTCGAAAAGGAAATATTTACTTTAAAAATATCAGTAAATTTCTTACAATCTCCCGAAATGTTTTAAATGCTACTGAAACACCTGTTGCATTCAATTAAAATCTAATACTAATTATAATATTTATGTGATAATCGTAAAACTGATTTAAGATTTATAGAAATATTTATAGCGAACGGCTTTTCTGGTACTTTGCTGAATCTGAATTTGTCTTTTTCTATATATGTATATCTTACATGTATAATAAAGTTTATACGTATAAATTATATGACAAGATATATATTTAAATTAATAACACATTAATAAATGATACATAATACAAAAGAATGTATTCGACATGTGTACTGGAAAATAATCAATTATACTACATGCTTGCGTGTTATAAAACCATTTCGTAAATGAAAAAAATCTCTTGTATTTTTATTTGTAATTTTATAATTTAATTTGTTTAGATATAAACTTCATTTATTCAGAAGTATTATATATTTCTTTGTTATGCATTTAGTAAATATAAATAAATAAGCTCAAATTCTCTGCTGAAATGTTAATTTCATTTATGTGTTACAAATAATTAATTATTTTCCAGTCTACGTAGTTTATTAATTTAAGTATGGTTATCTTTGGTACTGCATATTATTTCAATTATACCACATCATGATCTATACATCGGCTAGATCCTCACAGATAATTATGGATCTGTCAAAAAAATATTGAGTCGACTAGTATATTTCATAAGATTTAGCATTACATACCCTCTCCTTGTTTATCGAAAAATATTGTGCGTCTTAAATGCATAAGGAATTAGGCACCTCGAGTTTTTTCCAGTCTTGCGAAAAGAAGTGTGCGACCATTTCGGAGCACCGTGAATTTCTTCTCTGCGACGTGAAATGCATGCGGAGACATCTGCACGTTCTCTAATAAACTTTCAGCATTATCGACGAATTGAGAGGCCGATAAAACAGACAGTGATGGCAATCATACGTATAATAATAATAATACATGATAGATAAATATCTCATTTACATGCCATCTTAACGTTTTTGTTGTTCTTCAAGATGGCTATTAATTTTTATTTCGATAATGTCATGATTAATTAAATGGAAGTTAACGCAATTGAAAATTATCTTCGATAAAATGGCACTCTGCGTGATTTATCCAATTATTAATTATATATTATAACGTCAATTAAACTCTATCGATTTTGAACGGTATTTCACGCCGCAGAAAAAAAAAGGAAATTCTCAATATTTAAGCTATTGTCGCAGTTGCGTAAAGTCAACAAGAAAAATTGAACTATAAGGACGCTGAATCGTGGCCGTGTTCCGATATACACTACCAAAACTGAAAATTTATATTTCACATACACTGTGGATTTGCAGTATTAGCAATGCATATCGGAACACGGCCCGTGTGCGCAATTACGCAATAAGTTACATAGAAAAATATACATTAAGAAGCAAACAATACTATCGATAATTGGATCTAGCTAATAACTTAGAAACTTAGATTAATATCTTAAATTACTTAATTTCTAAGTATTGATTTAATAATCGATGAATTGGTCCGAGCATAAACCGCACCAATAACAGGAGATCGATCATTTCAGATTCGAATTTCGATCAGAATTTCGATCGGGCCTCATGATACGTCCCGTAAGGAACGTTCTTGCTCTTGCCGAAATCCTCGTCGAAGTCGGTCCCGCTGTACATCGAGAAGCCACGACGAGAGAGCAATTCCCCAGGCACGATCGTGGGATTGGTGTAACAAAAGTCCGCCATCATATTCGCCTGCCTGTTTAGTTGGTTGGACCTAAGATCAGTTTTCAGTTTCAACCTCGGCGACCGAATTGCTACCAAAAGTGGAGAGGAACGAGGATGATTCGACGGAGGTGATTATATCGAATGTAGCTGACCTTAAATCGATCGCCGATTGCAATGAGGATTACAATGAAGAATGTCTCACAAACATCACACGAAAAAATGTAATGACTACTGACGTTAGTAATGAGCGATTGAAGGAACGGTAAAACGAAACTTGGACCAAATAGAGAATTTTTTTTTCAAGTTTCATGACGGAAAAGGAGCTCCATGGAGATATATTTTCGAAGAATTGCGGAAGGAAAGAAAAGTAACTCGACGAAAAACAAAGACAATTCTATACGTAACAAATGACGTTATTACGATATTTACTCTTACATACAATTGGAATAAAATCGAATTGAGATTACGACTTATCGACGATAAATCGCACCTTTGTGTTAAATTTGCGAACTAACCAGAAATCATTCACTGATTAAAGAAACAAATTTTTTATCATCATTATAGCTTTACGTTCTCGGATGAGATACGAAACAATCATACGTGGCAATAAAGATACGTTATCACTAATTTCGTCGTCGGCTACGTGACTCACAAAAGAAACACGCGTGTTTTTATTCTTGCGGTAAGAAACGCGAAAACGTCTAACTACCTCTGTTGCACATACGCGTCAGGCATTTTTTTTTCTACTTTCCTTTCGCCGCGCAGGTGCACCGCTAAGTGAAGCAATCAAATAACCACGGAAATCAGTCTGTTGCACGCAATAATTGATAATCGATTTTACAACAGCATTCATAAACGTGTTATAGTCAATTAGAACAATTTGAAATGCACGATTTTTTCGCTTTGCGAATAAATGGTTCGATTATGGTTCGATCTTTCGATCACTTACATTTTACTGAGTTATGCAATTATATGTAAAAGAATGCAAAAGTGTGTACTGATTGTCAAAAGAGACGTTGGCTTCACTAAATTAAAGTAAAATTTTGAACGAAGACGTTTCACGATACGATCGTGAAACCGGATATTTCGTGTGCATGTGAAACACGTCGCCGACGATTCGCGATCGAACGGTAATATGTACTTAGCTGCGGTACTCAACCACGTAGAAATTTTGAAACGCGTTACGCGAGCACGGTAAACGCACGTTGTCCATGTTGACTGTACGCACTTTTGCGCAATAAAGTATATGCTTGTCGTCGGATAGATTAGAATGTGAGCAACCTTAATTAATGTTTACTGAATGATGATAATTCAGCATGATTGATATTTGCTAAATATTTAAATATGGATTATGCAACCGAAACCTTCGATTGTCGCCCCAATTGTCGACTGACAAAGAGGATGTATTACTCACCCGTCCTCGGCTAATCGATTTACTTTCACGAATAGCACGGCTACCAAAGCGAAAAGTAAGATAAGCGCGCCGGCGGTGATACCGCATGCAACGTAAAAATATAGCGTCAAATTCTCGACGAGATCCTCGACAGATCCCTAGAAAGAAGAGTTTAGAATTACTTTTCCGTTAAAAGAGAAGAACGAAACCCAAGTCAGATGAGAGCCGGTAAATTATTATATAGTTCGTTAAAAGGGACATATGATCGTATGAAATGCTCCACTTATTCGCCTATCTGGGCATCGCGATAAAATTCACACGTCCCGATTTTGACAAATAAGCGTTAATTAAAGCGACAGAGTTTCAAGTGACAAGGTTATCGGAAACGAGAATGCAAGATTGTGGATGGAATTTCTGTCGTGCTCGCGCGCGGTCGATATTCGTTCTCTCGAGATTTCGTAAACAGCATTTATAATTCCAATGTCAAAACGACTGCTAACAATGTCAGGAATGGCGGATCAACGCGCCTCTCTCGAATCCATTGTGTCACTATTGTGACGCGCTATCTCATCTCTAATCAAAATTTATCCCGTGAATATCTACTTCAGGTGTTAATTTCATCGACTCGTTTGCATCCGACCTTGCGTGCACGTAACTGCATCTCTAATAACGAGGTCTGCGAACGGACGTGATCAATTACGATACGAGATCTACTGGAATCTGTAAATATCTCCCGTCGCTCGAGAGAAAAACGAGGAAACGATCTGAAAAAATTAAAGGGGACGCGGTCAATCGCGAATGATTGCAGCGTATTGCGCGAGCTTCAAATATTTTCTCTTTTAACTACGTATTTAAAAATCTCTATATTTTTGTCATAGGACTAATTATAACGTTATGAGCCATTAAAGGTATATATTTGTTCGTGATATGGAATTATCAGATAGCTCCATTCAAGATAACATATCAGTTATATGTGTTCCAATTGCATTAAAACTTCGACAAATTTTGAAAAATAAATTGTATACATACATATATTTGTACACGTTTATATTGTATTATTTTTGATAAAATATGTATCAGATATAGAAACGCTATACTTCTTTAAATCAATAAGAAACGTATTCTTGCAAATATTCAAAAAATTGCAATTACATGCTAACAAGTTACACGCATTGCAATTTTTTAAATATTTACAAGAATGCAAAAATACGTTCCTAAGTGATATATATTATTTTATCTGATTTTTTGTTGTCAGCACAAATATCGTCAGATGATAGAAACTTACCGCGAATAAGGATAAACCGAAGAAAATCAGCTTTGCCATGAGACACTACATTATAACGTGTTACACAAATGATCGATAAATTGAATCTACACTGTTTACGACACTCGAGCAAAGCACGACTAGGAATTTTGCCGGAAAAAAGGAAAGGGAAACACAGTTGCACGTGATACCTTGAACGTATTTGCGGGGACGATTTGCGGTCAGGGACCGTACGATCGACCTCGGGATCACTCGAGAGATAATGTAAACACCGAAAGTGGGAGAAACTATCGTGTTACTTACCATCGTGAGTATGAATCAACCAGCCGAAACCGCGAATACCGCCGGTCTTGTCATGCCTTGCTCGCGGAGTTGTCTATGTAAGAGGTCGCGTTTGCTCGAGATATACCCGATATCAGTGTGTTATCGTGATCTCCTCCCGTATCTATCGAGATGTGACGACATTGTGGAGTCCAAGATGTTGGCAGATCCCGATCGAAGTACTCGCGGTCCACCGGTCAATTGCGAAAAAATCGTGTTTGAGGGATCGCGAGAGGATCCAACACTCGTCGATCAATTACAGTGGCGATAAACGGAATCGCGATCGAGGTTCGAAGAAAACGAGGAAATGGAGAGAGAAAGAGAAAGGAAAATAGGCGAGAAAAACGGGGAAGCGCGCGCGGAGGAGATATAAGTGCAACAGCCGAAGTATCTCCCCGGAGATCTTCGTATACCGAGATATCCGCGGCGATCTTCGTCCGACAGGTGCGGCACACGACCGGCTAGTTAAACGAATACTAAGCGAGACCGCCGAGAGCGAGGTAAGGTGAGGGCAGAGTGCCAGCTAAGCAACGCCGAATGCTGATAAACCCCTACCAAGCGCGGTCGCAGGCGTGTGTACACACGTGTGCGACTTGCGTTGCGTGTCACCGCGCGGGGGCATCCGCTGCCTGACATGCCTCCTCCGCGCGCTCTCACCCACGGAGACGCGTCCCCGCGTGGTGTCCTGCACCTGGGCAGGAATGCTCGGTTGCGTAATGCAACCGATAATTCTTTCTTCGTTCGCCAGACGTCGATAACTCAGCTAACACTCGCTCAAATACATTGCAGTGAAAATGTCATATATGGTTTGCGCTTTTGCGAGCGGAGGAGGAATTCAATATCGCGAGTATTGCCCGATAATATCGAGGTACACGGAAAGAACGGCTTTGCTTAAGTAAAAGTTAAAGTAACGGTTTTGCTAAAGTAAAACGGTTTTTGCTAAAAATTTAGCTGGAGATACAGATCTGAAAATAATTATGTTAGACCATTACAATAATTATATCGAACACTCAAGCTCATTATTAGAATATTCAAATTATTTTTTCATCGTTATTATTACATGCTTGAGTGTCCAATAAATAATTGTTTTGATGGTCCAACATAATTATGTTCAGATCTGTATACACATAGCTAAATTTTTAGATACTTCAACAAAAATGTTCTTTTTGTATATCATAAGCTTTCGAACAAGGATTTTCTTGAAATGAAACTTAATGGATTATCGACTTTATTTCTAGTCAAATACCAGATTTCGCAACTGTCGATGTCAATATCATTCAATATTTTTATCTTTGAAGATATTAAAAAGAACCAGTATCACGTGAGTCAATAGAAAAGATAAAGCTGCGGCTATAAATTAATAGTGTCATTGAAATATGGGACGCAATAGTTTCGGAAAAAAGGAGTAATTTGCTTTTAAATAGCTGCATAAGAATAAGAAATCATTTAAAAATAGGATTGAAAGTAGGCACACTTCGCTAATTGTGATTGTTATTAACGCGTGAGCGTTAAATAGTTCTATTTATTATTAATTACAAAACTATATTCCTACAGACTGCTGAGAGATACGCGAGGTGTACTGTCAGTGTATAAAAAATATACGGCGTATCGAACGTGCAGGTATAGAAAACAAACGCACGTGGGATTCGTCCATAAACCACGCACAGCTGCAACGTACACGTTGCAACTGTAAATATGTATACGTCATGCGCACGCGGATGTGTTAAACCGAGTTGTCATTTGCAACTTGGAAAAATTTTATTCCGACTTTCCCTTTCGCTCAGGCGACGATGTAACATCGTTGTTGTCATGCATATTACATCATTGTCAAACATCACAACCGTATTTAATTTCTTGCGATTGTATGAAATTAAGTGAGCGTAGATCATTAATTTTAAATAACGTTATATATATATTGTATATATTTTTGTAACAGTTTATATGTATATATGTTTGTTAGATAAAGATATATAAAACGATTCTGTACAAATCCTAATAATAATTCTGTTTCGAAAATATTTGATTACGTTGAAATTATTATTTTTTAGATTTTTTAGATTTAATGCGGTATTCTTAAAAGAATAATTAAAAAATTGTGTAATATCGTTAGAATTCATAAATATCCTATTCAAATAAAACAAAATAAATTATGATCATTCATGACAGTAAACTTTCCCGTAAAGTTAGATGTCTTTTAATTAAATAATTAAATTTAAAATTCTGTTAAAACAAATATTATAAGCATTTTATTCAACAAAAATGTGTTCATATCTATTTCTTCAAGATACCTTAAGTTTAACTTTAGTTTCTTTCTCCTCTCATCTCCGATTTTATAAACTAGGAATATCAATATTGGACGATCACTGTTCTCAGTTGGTAATTAAATAATAACTCTCATATATCTTTGGATTGTGTCCGACTGTTTGGACACTCGATATGCAATATGCGCGTTCTAAAGCATGTCTCATACATCGATGAGAATAATCTCGTCGTTACTCTTCGGCGCAAATGTGTGTAGGCTCATAAGCCAATGTAGTATGTAAGGAAGGGACATACAAAGACTCACGTATAAGTAGTAGGGAATAGGACGGGTAGATCCGAAGGGACAGAACCACAGACCTCTCCTGGTACCGTCTCGTATGTGATGACTCAGGAAGGCAGCCAATATCACCCAGGAAGTGTGTTCCAATAGAGGGGAATGGAAAGAGGAGGAGAGTGAGATGAAAAGTATCCACAGTAAAATAGGAACGGTGGTGCAATGTAAGAAGGGCCGTTTTTGTAAATGCGTGGCATCCTGAAAGAATATAGCATAAAATGAAGGATAAAACTTATAGAAAAAAAAAAATTTATTTATGGAAGTAAATATATAATATATATTTATTATACAAAAAATAATTATATAAATTAAATAACAGAATCAGAAATATAAATATCAAATAAAATAATTATTTTTAACATATCCAATAAATTTCTGCAACTTTTTCTTACATTTTTCAAACACAATTTTTGAGATAAAAATTAGAAATTATTGAAGTTATAAATTTTTGTTTCTTTCATTATTATCTTATATTTATAATAATTATTCTAATACAATTTTTTTTCATTGCCTCGATTTAATAGTCTTTGTTTTAATAAAATTTTATTAATAATTAATAATTTAATAAAGATAAAATGAGGATTATACTGCAGATTTTTTCCGTAATTTTCAAAATGTTAAATATTTTTTATACAATTAAATTGATATTAAGGCAAACGTTACAGGAATTTAATTCAACGAAAACTTTCATATTCGCACGTTATTCATAAATTTCGTGAGGAACTAATTATAGCATTAATGTATGCTGCGCTTTATCGTTATCGCTCATCCAAATTTCAAGGTCAATTTCTCGCAGCTAAATTCTCGAATGATTTTGCACACGTTACTCACATGGATGTGCCAACTGCGCGCCGCGACAAAGTGATCCAGATCAATGAAGGACGCCAGCAAGAAGCAGGAGAATATGCTACCCAGATTGCGCGCGATCGACTGCCGCGAGAGGACCACGATCAGCGTCCACGTGAGACCGCCCACCGTCGCGTGCGTCGCATTGTCAAACGCCGCGCGCGCCGACTCGTTCTTGCCGTACCTGAGCCCAAAGTCGCCGAGGATCGAACAGGCGCCGATCGCGCACGTCAGAAGCGCGCGCGACAACAGCTTGCGCCACATTGCGCGTTTACGATTTTTTCCACCTTCAACGGGGTGGGATCAACGGGGCTGTTGCGCGCGGTAGCAATCGCGACGCGACACCGCGTCTCGCGTGCAACGTCGAAGCGCGACGATTGTAAACAAAACACTATCGCTGCCGACGATCCGCCATCTTGGTTATGCGCGCGGTGTGCGCATGCGCGCCAGGTCGGCTGACAATGAGTGCCTGGCCCGCGGCGCGCGAAACTGCGAACGCCCAGCTGGCTTCTTTCAATTGCAAATTTATTGCAATTGCGTTTGAATGATTTAACTTCACCGATAAGATTATTATTAAAGAAGAGGCCGGTCAAAGGTAAATTTATGACCGTCAATTAGTGAGCCCGGAGGTAATTGTAGAATGATGACGTGTTATACCAACCATGTTAATTGTATCTAAGGATAACAAACTGCACGATCATTGTTTTACGTGACCAAATCATTATTTGTTATTATTAACAGCAAGAGGTTTACATATTTCTCAATTTTCACAACGTTTGCTGTATATACATATACATAAATCCGTACAGCAAACGTTGCGAAAAATTGAAAAATAAATTAACATGTAAACCTCTCACTGTCGATAATAAAATTGTGATTTGTTATCCTCGGTACAATCAAAACGGTTGGTAATGTCATCGTTCTTCAATTACCCCCGGGGCGGGGGGCCTACTTGACACTCTTGACAGTCACGAAAATTTGCCTTTGGCCGACCGTATTTTTATAATAATAACCTCGTCGGCGCGAAAACTTATTCATGACTAGCTGTCTTGATAATATCTTGTCAGTGGTCGAGTCGCGTGAAACGTGAAATTCTCTCCTCGGCGGTCAGCGCTCTCTTTTTTTATACATAACGTTTCCATTCTTAGGAGAAAATTATATGATCGCAGTCTGGTGACGCCATGTTCTATTCATATTATGTCTATGGCGTGATAAGAGACGGGCGCTAATTTGGCGTGTTGACTGTTGAGTCTACGCTTTCGTTTGCCGTGGGGAAGCCGTGTTGCTTTCGGATCGTTTTTCTCAAGAGAAAACCAGAGAGGTTCGCGTGAGAAGATCATTCGGGAAGCCGTCACGATGGTAATTACCCAATTAATTGATTGTCGGTCGCTCAATCTAGCGCTCCTTGAAAAAGGCTCGCCGGCCTCGTGCCGAATTTGAAACATGATGCACGCGTCGTTTACGTGCCGCTGTTTCGTTTTCATAATGTCGATACGATCTCCCGGTATCAGCCATAATTATATTGCATGCGTAGTATATTATTTGCCGATACCGTTAGCGAATGCATTAAATTTGGATGCGGGATTTTTTTCTTTCTGGGAAATGTTAGAGGAATTATATGGAGGGCGATAGAAATGGAAGTCAGAAATTACTCCATCAAAGAACAAACGTACGCCAAGCGATAGACATCGGAGTGCGATTCCGTTTCGTGCATGATGTATCAATTTTTTCTTGCTGTTCAGTGAATGTTATAAACAAGGATCAAATTCATAAGATACATCTTGCATATCATGACACGGAATAAACCAATGGGTTAGAAATTATTCCAGACAAACGACAGCCGCCTGTGCAGTGGTCGATTTATCAGGTTTATGTCGTTTGATCTCTGAGCAGATCAAAGAAATGGAGTGAAAAATGCCTTATTTGTCCCCAAGTCGATTGTGAATGTAGTATAAAATTTAGATATTCATTGCAAAGATTATGATACATTTACACTTAATACATGTTTTGTATTGGTGTTGTTATAGTGTGTCATTTGTTATTCCTTTTTTCTTGGAATAATAAATTTCTTTTTGCTTTACAGTCGGTCTCTTCCTCGGTCACTGCCAAACGAGAGGAGTTTCGCAAGTATCTGGAGAGATGTGGCGTAATGGACGCCCTCACGAAGATACTAGTCTCACTCTACGAGGAGACTGAAAAGCCAGCTGACGCTTTAGAGTATCCTTTTTCGTATTAACCAAGATTCAGCATTATTTTCACATTGTAATCATTCAACCTAAACTTCAAGAGGAAGAACGAGTTGTTTTTAATATTTAGTTCCACAACTTTTGTGTGCTCTTATTGTATGAGAAAATATTTACTTTCCAACTGCGTACTTGATTATGTTAGCAAATATGTTATTATGACTATGTTCTACTTAACGCTGCAACGCTCTTGGAATCACTTTATCTTTCTTGTTTATCAAACATTAAACAACAAGTAATGCTCGCGAGCGTTAAGTGGGACGCAGCTTATGTATGCTTTCTATGTTATCAAAAAATGTTAATTTCCTTATCTATACTATAGCTATATACGTAAGAATATTGGTGGTGCTGTGGACAACAGTACTTCAGAAATCGATAGCTTGAAGAAAGAATTGGAGGAGTCCAAAGCTTACATTGCCGAATTGAAATCAAAATTAATAAAGTATGAATCAAAGGATGAAGCGACGGCCGAGTAATTGTGACGGATATCATGTCTTTGATCAGAGTTCACGCTAGTCTTGTTTTTCTTTTTGGACACTGACTTTCCTAAGTCAGTCTGACTGTGCCTTATTACTATAATAAATATGACGTTTAAGAAAATTAGAATTTAAGATAAATTACTAAACTTTTGTGTAAACATTCCATTACATGTACGTTCATTCATTCATATATATTTTCTTATTTAAGAGAATGGCAATATAGCTGTTAGTTCTTTCATACTTCTTTTCTAAGGACAAAGTTATCATGTGAAGTATTTGACATGTGTACTTAATGTGCAAGCGTCGTTTGTACGGAATAGATCTCAGGACTCAAATAAATATTTCTCTTACGTTTATTACATGTATTCTTAAGTGTAATATCATTTATTGCCTTCATTTTAATCAGAATGGAACCCTTTTTTTTTATTGAAACTTATATAATATAGATTCATTGTAAATAAGGTCAATTTGTGACGAATAGCAGATAAAAAAGATAATTCTTTAGCAATCAGTATTACAAAAATTCAGACATATTTGTAACATAGATAAATATTAATATATGACAAGAATTTATAATTAAATTAATATCCGAGTCTTTTTATACCAGGAATTTTAATAATGCTGCGTACTGACGAACTTTATTCTTCATAATATAGTAGATATTCTGAAACATATAATGACATAAAATCATATATATCATGAAGAAAATAGTAAAAATCAGAATATTAACATGTCCAAAAGAACTTGATTCGTTGAGTTAAACAGAAAAAAATCTAATTCTCAGATAATTACCTCCTGGTTTTAGGCAGATCCGAGTGCGAGTAAAAATTGATAATTTCATTTTGCCGCTTGTCTACGCTTCACTTCCCAATTGTAGATACGTGCCATATTCACCTCCATGGTGGTATACTGATCACGAACAAAGTCTAGATCGTGCTCTATGAATCCTAAATTCTTCTTGGCTGCCTCAATATTTTTGGTCAGCACTTCTTGGGCGTCGTCTAAAGTATATTCTAGCATGACATTAGCACCCAGCCATAGACACACCTTGTCAGTGGGCGGTATTATGGCTTTCGCGTAAACTTGTTCCGATAATAAAAATTGCGTTTCTAAGCTACTCTTCTCGCTCTGTAGTTTCTCGATCATCTCTAGAGATCTTTCTAGGTCTGGTATCTGCGATTTTAAGCGTCTTCGTTTGTTGACTAGGTTAAACTCCATAAACTTGTACTTCCCGTGGCTCTCGTCGAGCTTTCTGAGCACCTTGTCCACGGATTCGTTTTCCGGCTTTGCCATAAAAGCCTCGACATCATCCTGAAATTGTACGACACAATGTACGAGAATGTTTAACTTGATTTAATTAATTCTGTAACTATTATTATAAAATATTTTATGTATATATATATATTTTATTTTATCTAATAAAAAATTTAAGTCGATGGTTTAATAAAGATAAACATGAAAATATGTCTGTGCAATATTCATTCAATCATATGAAGCAGGTTGAATTAAACAGAAAACAAAGTAACAAAAAAAATAGAATAACGAATTCACAATAATAAAACAAGGAAATGCGACAATTTTTTTTGGTAACCATATAAGGTTCCAGCAGAGGATCCAATTGAAATTTTGATCGATCAATGCATACATGAAATTGTGATTGTCAGCAAAAAATGAAGAGATGTGCTTCTCAACGTTTTTATAATATTGCAATGTACATATCTTTTATTCGCGCGGAGAGAACAATTGACGAAAATTTAATGTAAAACGATTAGAGACAAGTCAAGACAGTGTCGGGAACAATAACTCGGATTTCGCGAATGAGTATGACACGCGCGCACGCGCCCGTACACGTAAATTAGATGTTAATCATATTTACCACAAAGTCGGCCTCCGGTATGCCGGCGTAGGACTTCTTATCTTTACCCAGCTCAATTTCCACTTTATTGTCACCGTCTTCCATCTTGAATCTCCTGTATACCTCCGAAGTGCCCTCCTGTATCTCAATCTCCCGCACTAACGTGACCGTCGTGACTCACGATTCACAGCACAGATGCTCTCGCTTTCGAGTCGGTCCTTATGAAACGACACCTCTGAAAACTTAGTGTTAATTTTCAATCTTGCGTCTTCTTACGCGATAAATAATTATGAAATAGAGATCATTTCGAGATGTGTGTAAGGTTATAATCGATGAGAGAGATATGTAATACGATATGTTTGATTTGCGAATCTTGTGTAATTTTTATTATTAAGTTAATGAAAATTTTACAAGATAGCTGTCGCAGCAGCTGACAATGAGATGAGAGTCATGAGAGAAGAGGAAGAGGAGTGTTTATTGGCGACTCTCTATGTGCACGTTGAATTTAAGCAGCCAAATATCTAGGTATGTGAATATTTCCAGCGGACAACACACATACACGAATTCCACGATCTTCAATTTTATTCCATATATTACGTTATTCTATATATACGTACATACGTTCGATCACTATGAAAAAAGTAGTATTTTTTGGTAGTTTATTGAGTTGTTTATTCAGCTAACCACAAAGCGTGCACGAGAACAACGCATTGTATATACAAACTTTAATTGACCGATTCGTGGCGGACTCTGGTGATAATCTATGCAATCATCTATCGTACCGTCCGTACCACTCTTATGATAACTAAATAAATTGGAAAAAATGTCGACTCTGATGAAAAACAATTTTTCAATTTTTTATATTTTAAATTTACAAAGATTTCAGAAAAATATCTTAAATGTCTTCAGATTTCAAGTTGGAGTGAAGTACAAAATACGAAATCTTACATACACAATTAAAAAAAATTATATATGTATAAATTATATATAAAGCATTTTAAAAAAGATGTAGAATTTTTGAAAATAAATCCAATTTGTGTAAAAAAATCTGAAAAATTGTTTAAAAAATTATAACATTATATAGAAATTCTAAAAAATTATGAAACGACACCTCTGAAAACGTAGTGTTAATTTTCAACCTTGCGTCTAATTCTTACGCGATAAATAATTATGAAATAGAGATCATTTCAAGATGTATGTAAGGTTATAATCGTAAAAATATATAAAAATAATATTATATTATTGCAGATATTTAATTAAAAACGCTTTTGGAAAATAAAAAACTTTTATTAAACGCGCGACTTTGTTATGGAAGTAGCATACCTATATATCTTTATAAAGTATGTATAAGCAGGATAATTACCCTTTTCACGAGTTTTGATGACAGATTAAAAATCAATCGCAAATTTCTTTCAAGGGCCTCCCCTTTAATATGCAGTATATGCCCGTAGCGATAATAGTCCCGACTGCAGCTACGTTCAATCTAAATTAAGGTGTCCACCCGCACCCCACATGTGCGTCGTGCGCACGAACGGCCCAACGGACATCGCATTTATATACATTGGCTCGGGGCGCATTCCTCCTCTCTGATACACTTTATTGGGCCTAATAGACCCGAATTATGGTGTATCGAGTAAAGCAGGGTGGATCTAGACTAGCGCTGTCTAGACGACTCGCGCCTAAAAGCCGCGCTCTTTTCATTCGACAATTGCTCTGCATGCAAAACAAAACAGTCGGCGCGAATTAACCCGCCAATTGTATAGTCAATCCCTCTCCTCTCCCTCCTCTCCGCTCTCGAAATTAGCACACCAGTAAGTTTTGTTATACCTTGTGTCAAACTGAATTCGAGAAATTGATCTTATTTTAAGCGAAATCATTCTGATTTTATATTCATATAAATTATAATATGCCGCATATTTATTATATACTTAAGTTATATATACTATATACTCGATCGAGCAACTATAACAATATTTTATTTTATCGCATTAATTAGTCTTTTTAAACAGACGGAGAAGGGATCTCTTATTGCATACATATTAACGAGTGAATTTTTCTCTCTTTAATTTTTTTAAATAGAAAATATCTATAAAAAGGATGCAACTAATCGAGAATGAATTTTCCGGTACATCGACCGAGAGAAATTAATTCCGTTCGTTCTAAATGGGGAGGGGGGGAGGAGTGGATTTTTTATTGCATACATACTAAGTGAAGATCCCTAATTTAATTTTTTTAAATAGAAGACATCTATAAAGAGGAAGCACCTAATCGAGAATGAACTTTCCGTCACGTCGACCGGGAGAAATTAACGCCGCTCGTTCTTGCGAGCCACAGTGGAAAGGTCGCGGATCGGGCGCGCGGGGGACCGGAGGGGAAGGGGGCGAGAATTAGCGTTTCGGGGGCGCGGACGCGAGCGAGCAGATCCAGAGCGCGCGCGCGGGGCACGCATCGTCGCGTTATGAGACGATAGCACAGATCCGTGGCACGTTCAGTTGGAAACTCAATGGCGGTTACAGGTTACCTAGGGCTTCCTGCGGAAATGGCCAATATACACCTCCGACCTCCAACTCCGCTCGGCCGATCGCGCGAGAGCGCGAGCGCGCACTCGGATCGCGCGCTCCTGCCGTACGGCGTACGGCCGTATGGACCACGGACGTGCGGTCCGTACCCCCATGGCCGTGGCGTATACCCGCTCGCCCGACACGCCACTCGTTACGGCTCATCATCGTGATCTATGCGCCTACAACAAACGCTATATCCTTAATCCGCTCTAGTTGGCGCGATCCTACATCGCGCGTGCTGAACGGAAAAGCTAATGCCGTTACCTTGGAAGTCTCTCCGCGTCGCTTCTTCTCCGAGAAAAACTTAATTCGTTACGTATACAGTCGAATCTCGATAACTTGAACTCGAAATAAAACCTATACCTTAATTAACTCGAATTGTTTGTCAGATATTTGGATGTATTATTTTATTTCTGCAACTCAAATTTAAAGTAGCCAGCTGCCAGACCTCTATATAACTCCTATTGTCTGCCTCTATAATTCAAAGTTATAGCTATATGTGTAACCATGAATAATAGTAGTAGTGGTATTTGTTTTATGATTACATTTATTATATGTACGCAATAATTCACTGTCGAATATTGAATTTTTTTCCTTTAATTAAAAGCCATTATAATAGGAAAATTATAAACTCTCGTACAAAGCCTTCATAAGTCAAATTTTCGTATGTTAACCCTCTTTTATTCGAATTTCGATAAGTCGAAAACTCTGTAACTCGAAGAGTTAGCTCTTCCCTTGAAATTCGAGTTATCGAGGTTCGACTGTATATATATTTGAAGATTTATATGTTTTGTAAAAAAAACTGTCTTAACTGTGTCTTAAAGTTAACAAAATTAGTATCTTTAAGAAAATTTTATTATCTTAATAATTGACGAGAGTTCATAAACTACAAGAGACGCATCAATTGTAATTTAACAAGTAATCCATGCGCATGTTGCATTCGGAATCATGCTGTGATACGAAATTAATAATTGTTAATATGAAAGTCTTCTAGCCACTTCTGAGCGAGATCTTCTTTTAGCTCCGTTGGAATCGCAGACAAATAATACATATTTCTGTACGCGGTAGATATATATGACGTACCTAGACCAAGAATTCGCGCACATGTTCCGTCTGCCGCGAAGTCAAGCAGCGGCCGAGACATTAACGCGTTAAGACGTTAACGCAGATCTAAGCTGGAGTTTTTCGCATGACCGGCTCGCATTCGTATCGCATAGCTTCGCTCGTTAAGTACAACCGCGGTCTCTAGATATGAAAATATTTGTTTTATCGCACCTTTACATTCTACGTCTTTACTTAATTATGTCTAGACTAGAGAAATGATTCATTGAAATTATATCAAATAAACATCGGTACGATGATTTTGACATCAATTTGACGTTTAATTGACGGTCATTTCTAGCTCATTAAAATAATATTTTGTTTGCAGTTTGTTACTAATATTCGACGTTAAAATATCATGAGGTTTATTTAAGGAACGACGATTTTATAAAAGTATGGCCGTTTGTATGACTCTGTAAGTTTATATTCTCAAGAATATAAAGTATATGTTAAGCGCATATATACGAGCAGTTTGTTTAAAAAATTTCAAACTTTGTTTTTATAATTTTTTTATTTTGTAGGCTTATATAATTTTTTTATATATAGGTTATATAGGTTCTAGATATAGGTTACACAATTTATTTGCACTAAGAGAAAAAAATACTTGCAATTTTCATAATTTAACTATAATTTTCGGTGCCAATATTTGTTTGATAGAACTATAAATATAATTATTATTACCAACATTATAGCAGTAATAACTATGAAAATAGAGCAAATTATTTTATCATACAGTTATAGTCACAAACATCAAGTATACAATACTTTTCTCTCAGTATAACAACTAAAGATTTCAAAAAAAATTCGCATATCAGGACTGATTTCAACAATGGAAATGGCGTTGGCAGAGGTGTATCAATCGAGAAGGAAAATATTTCGAATAAGATAAAGCTAAATAAGCTAGACTAAAGCTAACAATAAGAATAAGACTAAATAAGTTGTAAATAAGCTCCAAAAAATTATAAAACTCGACAACTGTTTAAATAAACCTCGTAGTTCTATTTCTTCTGCTTCCTTGGCGTCTTCATGAAGAAGAATCTGCGGATTCGAGATGTGAGAGATGTAAGAGTCGAAGACTGAATAAGATATGCGTTCTCGGGGGTACTTCCTCCGGGTCATCGTGAAGAAAGAAGCGTCGCGCAGCTAACAATGGCACCACAAATGTGACTGACTCTTGTCGTTCGCAGATTTAATCTGTCGAAATGAATCACCATTTTGATGATCTCACGGCCAACAAACATGTTCATAGGGAATAACTGTCGATGAGGAGCTAAAGGGTTCGTAGAAGCGCAAGACTGGACCTAAACTTGCTGGCAATTAACACATTATAATTTTTTTTTCTTAGACGCGTTAAAAGCGATGGAGAAAGTATTACATTCTTAGTTAATAAAAAATAAATATTCTTATTACATTTGGAATCTTTTTTACTTTTCTTACATCGTATAAAAATCGTAAACTGAACCGATATTGCTTCTCTTTGAAGAGGACGGCTTTGTTATAACTTCAGATTCCTTTCAAATGGAAGGTCGAAGGGATGTATTAACAAGTTCTAGGCGTCAAACGTACACAGATTTTGAAGCGATGCACTCTTCTTCGAAAGGTCCACACGAAAGAATTTCGTTTGATGTTGGCGTTCAAATTTACTTTGTATCGTGATGTGGACCAACTAAAGAATGAAAGTTGCTCAACTTTTCATCAATATGGAATATATACGCGGCATGCGTTAAATGTTCTCTCAAGATATTAGAGCTTTACAACAATATTTGAAAAACTTTTCTAAAGAGAAGCCTACTTTGCATTATAATCGTCTAGCTACAAAAGAACCATATTTGTTTACTTCAAAGCAACAGAAAAAAAACAGTTTTTTAATATTTTAAAAAGATATTCCATTATTGCCTTAATTATTCATATTTATTTGAATTTAGGTATTGGTAGTCAAAGATTTGCTTTATAAAATATACGAAATATAAGTAAAAGATATAGTATATCATATAAATTTGAGAGCGCCTTCTAAGTCATGGTTGGATCTTGGTGCTTAATATTTCTGTATGAATTTTAAATCCATTGTTCAGTCATTTAAAACTGCGCGTCGAATCAATGTCGAACTTGCAACGCAATCCTAAAATATTACTTCAGCCTAGCTTATATTTTTCGCATTAATTTAATCGTAATTTTTTAAATATGCTTATTCGCATCGATTATTAAAATTTGAAGATAAATCGTGATCTTACTATTCCATCTTCAGCTAATGATTGCGTTGCAATTTTGACATTGATTTGACGCGCAGTTTCAAATGGCTGAATAATGGATTTAAAATTCATATAAAAATATTATTAGGTACCAAGATCCAGGCGTAAAAGCGTAGAAAACGCTTTCAAATTATTTGTAATATTCACTTACGCGATCTAGTTTAAAATACTATTATTTATATATTTATTCAACGTGTATTTTCAGATTTAATTTTCGGTCTGCGTTCTCTCGTCTAAAGCTAATTTGAAATCGAATTCCACAGATGTGTGAAATTGTGACGTTTTAATCATTGATGTAAACGCCCCAATGCAACAAGAGCGAACCGCGGAAGCCGTTTCAAAGCACCCTTTGCAATTATCTCCCGCGATGCGTTATGATTCACGAATGTACGTTAGGCATCTCGAGATCCCCGAAGATAACTATCGGCCGCTAGCTTAGGCGGCACGTGCGAATGGATGAATGAAAGTTTACGAGGATAGTAAGAACAGGTCAATCTGCCAATTGACCAGCCGGCCAGTAGTCGGTACCGCCGACGAATGGACGGATCTCTTCGGGATCGTTCCTCCCTTGCCGGGCACCCACACAGAAGCGCGCGCGCGCGCGCGCGCTCTCAGTCGGAGTGCCAGAGCGGGGTACCTTCGCCGAGGAGGAGAATTGGCCGCAACCGGAGTGCACGGCAGATAAGGGTGCTCCACACCGCCGTGGTGGGGGATGGTTGACTCTGGAGTGGCCGTTCGGAGTCAGTTGCTCTTATGCTCGCCAGCCACGAACAACGTGATCGCGTTGCGCGCCGCTCGGCTCGAACCGCGTGACACGAACGTCACGAACCGTGTCGAGAGAACGACGGAGAAACGAATCGGCGGAAACCGAAGCGCGCGTGCAGTATTAAAAAAAAAAAACGATCGCGATAATCGCGGATTTCTCGCGAAGCGAGAAATTTGGCGAACGTTCGTTTCCGACACGGAGTTGACAGTAAATTCGCGCACGAATCTCGCGAGGAAAGTGACGGAGAGAGGAGGATCCTGCGACTTTCTGCGGTGCCGAGGAGGAATCGAGAAGGATTGATCTTGGGTACGGAGAACATTTCGCAGTGCTAAAATCGACAAAGTGGACTTTGTGCCTGGTGTCGCGAAGACGCGGCTCTTCGATCGACGCAGTTCCCTCGGAGCGAACGATCGTTGCGCGCCTCTTATCGCTCGATCGCTTCGCCGCTTTTGAAAGAAACTGCGGAAGAGGACTGATTACATTAGCGTGTATTACTGCCTTCTCGGTGCAACCGGATACACGCGCGCGTCACCTCGCGTCATCGGCTCCCGAGAGAGAAAAACACCGTGCGATTATTTGCTTATCTGCAATTCCGTAATTTGATCGTGAGAGACATCGCGAGGAAAAATCTGAGAGAGAACAACATCGAGAGATAGAAATTCGTGGTGCTCACGAGCCGAGCGCGTGGAACGCAGTAGAAGAACATTTTTTTCCTCCCGCGGGAAAAATTCATATATAGCGACGTCCGCGCGCGTGCGTGTGCTCGCCACGACTTCGCGCTGGATTCCATTATTATTCGAATAATACGACAGAGACAGCGGATTAACTCCTGCGTCAACTGCGCAACGTGCGCTCGCCCGGGACGCCTGGCGTCGCCTCGTCATTCTTTTCCGGACATATTTAGCCGGAAGTGGCCAATTTAATCGCAACTCCGACGCACTTGCCGATGCGATCGCTCGGCACGTGACCTCTCCGCGGCACGTGAGGTAACGTGACGACGGGCGTCGCGACGCCGTCTCTCGAAGAATCCGCCGTGGGACCATGCGGAGGCATCGTTTCGATTAGCGCGCCCCGCGAATCATCGAGAGGCTCGAGAGGAGCGATGACCATCGGCATCTGAGTCGTCGACCGGGAATCGCGCGGAAGCTGATCGTGCGCAAGGATCTCCGGGGGGGAGGGGGTTATTATGTTAGGAACGGGATTATGCTTTCTGCTGAAGGTGTTGGTGGTGGCAGGGGCGGCCGTCGCGCTCCTGCCACCACGGCTGGAGGATCTGGAGCTGGACCACGTCATGCCGGCCAGCCTTCAGGAGGAATGCGCTTCCAAATGCCCCGACTTAGACCTCACGCAGGTAAGAAACCTCCACCGTGCGATAAGAAGGAGCTAGACATTGGTATAAGTAAATAATTGACATCTTCATAATCGAAGACCTCTAAAAGGTTTTACGTGTCGATGGGAAGAAACTCTAAAGTTTAGGAAAACCATTATCTCTCTCTTAGTGAAAGCCACCTGAAGATATGAGACTTCTTGATTCTGTCGTCGATTTCTGCTTACTGCTATGTAAAATTGAGAAAACAACGACGCGCGTTAAATTGCCATTCGCTTATCAATTGCAAAAGTGCAGAGTATGTCTATCTTAATTCGCTGATATAAGAAACGGGATAATATTTTTTTGCGCAGACAAAAGAAGAACCGATAACAGATAGCGATTTTAGTAATAAAGTGACAGTTTATTTACTTAACATCAGTCTGCACTGTATAGGTATCAAAATTAATGGATAATTGATAAATTACAAAGTTGTGCAATTACGAGCTGATCACGACATTTTTGGTCAATATGGAATTTTGTGCCGCGCTTATCAGTGTTATTTACGGCTACCTTTAATCACATCGTACCGTTTTATTGTAAAAACACGTTAGATTTTTTGAGACATGATTTTGTTGTTCGGATAAATTAACGTTATTAATAATGTAACATTAATAAATAGATACGGCATGTGGTAAATAGAGCTGATTAATTTTATTTAAAGAAATATTTTAAATATTAAATATATGTATATATTTATTATAAATAATACATATTAATTATATATTAAAATAATTTAGTATTAATTTAAAAGGACTGTAAAAAATTTTAATCTCCTATTTTTAATTAAACTCATTAATCTTCAAATTAAATAAAATGACCCGAAACTCTCGCGTTTATCTTTCTATTCCTTGATCAATGTAGACTTAATTTTTTCTTAACAAAAATATAAATTTTCACTGCCATAAATAAATTCTTCAATTTTATCGATAGATGTATAATGGCATTTTGCGTGTGTTCATCAAATGCTTTCTACTCGCCGTCTAATTAACTTTCACGTCGAGCGCGAGTATTGTCGTCGACGCGACGTGTTAATTAATGAGGAATATTTAAAGACCATGGCGCTGTTCGCGATTCTTGAAATCTATGTCGATGAGTCGCTCAGGCGACCTAGTTGCATTCCTCGGCGATGCAACGCACGTATGCATATCCTTGCGACCGTGACGCAATTTTTCCCTTTGAATTACCAATTCGTCGGAAGCCAGAAAATCGCGTACTGCAACATATAGACGTGCTTAGATTTAGATAGAAACTGCCGATATTTCCATTCGTTTGAATGCCGCAAGTCGCCATCCTCAGCAAAAGCGGAGGTACATTGCGGCATTGACAACAATCGATTGCGATAATCAAGTAGAGATGTTAACAAGAAAGCAATATGTCGATGCAAATAATATGCATTATAAAAATACATGATATTTCAAATTTGCTTTCTCGATGACGATTTATTCAGCGATTCTTACTTTCGCGCTCCCGCGTGTCTCCCGCGCTCCGGACGTTGATACTTAATATCAAGAAAGTAAAATAAATAAAATACAGTGCCAAAAATGCTCAGGACAAAAGGAACAGTATCGATGCACTTTGATACCGTCCTAAGCATCCCCAGCTGCAAGCCGAGCGGCGGCAGCGGCGGCGGCACGAAAATGGCTGTGCGCGAGCGGCGAAGGACGTATCAATTTAAGTCCACTCTCCAGCCCGACTGTACCATTCATTAATTAACTTAACTACACGACGGCGCATCATGGCAGCCCATAAGCATAGCGTCGAGGATGAAAGACGAGCACGTAACGGATACAGGGCCATCTAATCCCTTTCTTACGAAGAAGGACGAAAACGTCGTTCTTTCGCGCGCCGCCTTCGCCGACTCGGATTATTGTTCATCACACGAATTATGGCTCTGATCGCATGGCTCGTATCGCGCACCACATAATCTGTGCTGTCTGAATTTTTAGAAGTATTTATATTTCGTTATTCTTCCAACAAATATGATTTTATTAATTTGCTTAATTATATAAATATAATAAATACGAATTATGTATAAAAAATTATACTTTTGTAAATTATATATTATGAAAACTATAAGCTGTACCTACGGCGGATCCTTCGAGACGGCGTGTAGAAATCATTTGATGAACACACGCAAAATGCTATTATATATTTATCGAGAAAATATCGATAAAATTGAAGAATTTATTTGTGACAGTGGAAATTTATATTTTTGTCATGTGTCAATAGAAAGTACAAGCAAAAAATTTTACATGCACACTTTATTATATTTTTCATAATACGTATCATATATACATATGTTTGCTTTCTGGGATAATTGATAATGAAAATTTGAAATAAAATTTTTATGAGATAAAAATTATACACGCTGAAATTTCGCAATAAACATGTTTATAGTAATCAGCGTCACTTTTACTTTGTTGCTTTCAAGCAGCAAAGTAAACTGACCCATTGCGACAGCGTGCGAAAGGCCTCGGCATGAAAAAGGTTTTAATCAATGCGTTTGACAATTGACGAGAACGGAATTGGTACCAATTATCAATTTAACTCTCCTCAAAAAGATCACCGCCAACATGCCTTCTGATATCAGATCATCGCTGCAATTTTGTGCACAATGTGGAAATTTATCACATTTCTTACATATTATTCTTATAATCAGTGATACAAATAAGATAATTTCTCCCTTAATTCAACATCCCTATAAGAATGTGTGACAATCATTTTAAAGATTCATAAGAATTAAATAAAAACAATGCGTTTTTAAAATAATGAAAAACTAAATTATTGATAACGTCTAACGACAAAAAAGGAATTGCAGAATTAAAAAAAAATAAGTGAAATAATTATAATAAGTCAAACTAATTTTGAATTATTAAATTTAATAATTTTACATATTGCGATATTTATTCTGTTTCTCGATCTCTCGCAACGCCGCGCGCAGACTGGCGGGTGAATTGATGTTTACTAATTAGTTTTATGACAGTTGTGCGATATTATAAGTCATCGAACTCTCGCAACCCTTCCTCGTCGGCGCGCTCTCGAATCAATTATCCCGGCCGCCACCAGATAAAGGGAGAAGCGTGGTCCAGGAAAAAGAAATCACTTTCTTCGATCCCTTATCAGCAGTGCATAACTCACTCTCTCTTACTAATCATCTTTCCCCGTTCGTCGCGAAATGATCAAAGGAAAAGCTCAGGGTCATCCGATAACAGTTTTGGCTGAGTATTTTTTTCTGCAGGTAGAATGCGAATTTAGAAGTCCTAATCACAATTCTCATAATTCTCATTAAATTTCGGTTGCCAATAATTGGATGATCAGCTTAAAAAAGTATGCAAATCGGATAAAATTTACTCTCTTAAAGTGCATTTCGAGATTAGCTAAAAATAAATTTTTCATGCCAATCTTTTAAGTTATCAAACGTTTAACCTCTGTGATAAATGTGGATAAATATAGCATCTTTTAATTATACACAATATATAATACTATATCCTTATTACTTATGTTGCTTACATTACAATTATTATAACATCTTTAATTCCGTGTCAATGTACGTGTTTTCATACGAGAAACTTTAGATCAGAGGGAGAAATTTTTTCCTGTTTAAGATACAAAACAAGTATGTATACATGATTCATGTTGCTTAACGTCGAGAAATATTGACGATGTAAAATCTTTAAAGCAGTCTCTTCTATTTAAAAAGACGCGAAAACGGACGCCCGTATTATTTACTAGACACATAGTAAAGTTCTTATCTCTCAGGGTGATGTATAGAAGATAACCTTAAGCTTTCATAACATGAGGGATTTTCGTCAGCGTCTTCACGCCATGAACATCGGCCCCCGACGTTTTATTCTCGAATCGGTATGATAACTTTTAGTTGATATATATAGTAAATAATTTATCGTCGGTGTCACTCGAGATACACGATTTGTCTAATACATCGACTTAAAAATAACTTCGATCGAAATCCATTCCAAACAGTTCCTTAATGTACACGGAAAGAACAATTTTGCTGAATCCAGATCTGAAAATAATTTTTGTTTAATAATCAAAATAATTTTGTGCGAAAGTCAAAATGATTGCTAGAATATCAAAACGTTTTATATATAGCAATGCTTATCAGTTTAAACATTCCAACAAATTATTTTGATGATTCAACAAAAAATTATTTTCAGATCTGTATTTAGCAAAATTTTTAGATCTTTCAACAAAATTGTTCTTTCCATGTACGTGCATAAAAAAAGAAGATTTTTAATTATTTAACATTTAAAAAAATAATTGGTCTGCAAGAGCAATCTTGATGTAAAACTGTAATTTAAAAATTACTAATTTAAATATTAAATACACAATTTAATTACCTAAAGAATCTACGTATATTAAAAAATTAAATATGAATTTAAAAATATGTATATTTTTTTAGAAACATTATAATAATTAAATATTTAAAAAAATATTACAATATCAAGAATTTAAATTGATACTAATTATTAATACGCAACTAACTGCGTATTTATGTACTTATTGCGTACTTATTGTGCATATTATACTAGCATGTGGTATAACAACACGTATCTCTTAACAGAAAACAATTATTATACATTCGCGTATTTCTTGAAACGACTAAGCAACAATATCGCGTTCCTATCATAAAACAATGCAAATACTTGTGACAAGTGACAGAGACAGATAATGATACTGCACTGGTATTTTACTCCTCAACGTTTTGACGTCAACACATAATTTAAACTACTAATATGAGCGAGCATAAATGTTTCTTCGTATACAACTGACATACCTATATTTCAAAACAAAGAAGCGCGGAAAAAAACAACTTTACTCGTGTAATCAAATCAGATAAAAAAAAAACATTAAGAGCACAAGTCGAAAAGATAGTTCAATAATTCTGATTGTTTTTAACTGGATAACTTAAATTTTGGCAGCATAATCATCCTGGAAGAATAACAAGAATGATATGATGTGAC